TTGGATTTTGTTGAATACGTTTTCTGTGTCTATTTATATGATCATGTGATTTTTAACCTTCATTTTGTTTATGTAATGTATAACATTATTGATTTGTGAATATCATACCAGCCTTGCATCACTAGACTAAATCCCACTTGGACATGGTGTATGATCTTTTTAATGTATTGCTGGATCTGATGTGCTAATATTTTGTTGAGGATTTTAGCATCTATGTTCATCAGGGATATTGGTCAGTAATTTTCTTTCTTTGTAGTGTCTTTATCTGGTTTTGGAAGTAGGAGAATGCTGGCCTCATAAAAAGAGCTTGGAAGTCTTCCCTTTTCTTGCATTTTTTGGACTAGTTTGAGGAGGATAGGTGTTAGATCTTCTTTGCATGTTTGGTAAAATTCACTCATGAAGCCATCCAATCCAAATACTTTTTTTGCTGATATATACTTTTTTATTACTGCTTCAATTTCATGAGTTGTTATCTGCTCATTCAGGTTCTGATTCTTCCTGGTTCAGTTTTGGAAGACTGTATCTTTCTAGGAATTTGTCCATTTCACCCAGGTTGTCTAATTTGTTGGCATATATAGTTGTTCACAGTATTTTTTTACAATCCTTTGTATTTCTGCGATGTCAGTTGTTACTTTACCTCTTTCTCTTTTTTTACTTATTTGAGTCCTTTCTGTTTTTTGATGAGTCTAGCTAAAGGTTCATCAGTCTTATTTATCTTTTCAAAGAACTAGCTCTTGGTTTCACCAACCTTTTGTATTGATTTTTTAGTCTCTATTTCATTTATTTCTGCTCTGGTCTTTATTATTGCCTTCCTTGTACTTACTCTGGGCTTTTCTTGTTCTTTTTATAATTATTTTAGTTGTATGGTTATATAATTTATTTGAGCTTTTGTTGGTTTCTTGAGGTAGGCCTATAATGCTATGAACTTCCCTCTCTGGGTTGGCTTTCACTGTGCCCCATAGATTATGGGTTATTTTTTATTTTTTCCTTGATCTCATTGGTACCCATTCATTATTTAATAAAATGTTATTTAGTCTCCATCTGTTTAAATGTTTTGAGGGTTTTTTTTTTTTTAATTGTAGTTGATTTCTAGTTTCATCCCATTATGATCTGAGAAGATGCTTGATATGATTTCAGTCTTCATGAATTTATTAAGACCTATTTTGTGTCTTAACATGTGGTCTACCTTTGAGAATGTCCCATGTGCACTTGAGAAGAATGTATATTCTGCTGCTTTGGGGTGAAATGTTTTGTAAATATCAAATTCACCTGATCTAGTGTCATTTAAGTCTCTGATTCCTTGTTGGTTTTTTGTCTAGAAGATCTATTCAGTGAAGTCAGTGGGGTGGTAAAGTCCCCTACTATGACTGTATTGCTGTCAATCTAAGCCTTAAAGTCCACCAAGAGTTGTTTTTAATATATTTAGGTGCTCCTGTATTGGGTGCACATATATTTGCAAAGGTTATATTTTCTTGTGGGTTGATCCCTTTGGTATTATGTAGTGACTTCTTTGTCTCTTTTATGGCCTTTGTTTTGAAGTCCATTTTGTCAGATATTAGTGTTGCTACTCCAGCTTTTTTGTTTGTTTCCATTTGCATAAAAATGTTTTTTTCATTCCTTCACTTTCAGTCTGTGTCAATCTCCTGTTCTGAGGTGGTTCTCTTATAGACAGTATATATATATGGGTCATGGTTCCCTTCAGCTACCCTATGTATTTTGATTGAAGCATTTAATCCATCTACATTTAAGGTTATTATTAGTAGGCACTTATTTATTATCTTTTTTTTCTTTATACCTATGTTCCCCCCTCTCTCTATTTCTTCTTCTTAAAGCAGTCCCTTTAACATTGCTTGCAATGCTGGCTTGGTGGTAATGTACTCCTTTAGTTTTTTGTGTTTTTTGCATGGGAAGCTCTTTATTTCACCTTAAATTTTAAATGATAGCCTTGCTGAATAGACTAGTTTTGTATTCAGGTACTTGCTTTTCATTACTTTGAATACTTCATGCCAATGCCTTCTGGCCTGAAGTGTTTTTGTTGAGAAATCAGCTGACAGCTTAAGGGGAACTCCCTTGTAGGTAACTTTCCATCTCTCTCTTGCTGCATTTAAGATTCTTTCTTCGTCTTTAACATTTGTCATATTGTTTATGATGTGTTTCAGCGTGGGTCTCTTTGTGTTCATCTTGATTGGGATTCTCTGTGCTTCTTGAACTTGTGTGACTCTTTCCTTCACCAGGTTAGGAAAGTTTTCTGTCATTATTTCTTTAAAGAGGTTCTCTATTTCTTGCTTACTTTCTTCTCCTTCAGAACCCCTAGGATACAGATGTTACATTTCATGCTATCCTTAAACTATTCTGCTGCTTTTTAATTCATTTTTCTTTTTGCTGTTCTAATTAGGTGTCTTTTTCTACCTTGTCTTCCAGGTCACTGATTTGATCCTCTGCTTCATTCAATCTACTTTAATTCTTTCCAGTGTGTTCCTGATGTCAGATATGGTATTCTTCATTTCCCACTGGTTCTTGTTAATGGTTTATATTTCCTTTTTCATGGTGGTGTAGTTCCCAAGAAATTACAAGTTTCTTGTAATTCTCACTAGTTCCTTTAGCATCCTTATAACCATTCCTTTGAACTCTATATCTGATAAATTGCTTGCCTCCATTTCATTTAGCTCTTTGAGATTCCTCCTTTTCTTTCATTTGGAGGTTGTCTCTTTGTCTCCCCACTTCAGCTGTCTCTTTGTATTTGTTTCTATGTATTAGACTGCTATGCTTCCCAGTCTTCATGGGGTGGCCTTATGTAGTAAGGGTTCTGTGGGACCCAGTGGCACAGTCTCCTTGATCCCTTGAAGAGGATGCTCTAGGAATGTACCTTGTGTGGATTATGTCAGCCCTCTTGTTGTAATTGGGTCTTGACTGCTCTTAGCCCATTTGTGTGTGTGATCAACCCTCAGGCTGGCTGACTATGAGGCTAAACTCTGACCATATCATGCAAGTTGTTGTACAGGGGCCATCTTGACATGGCTTCTATAATCCTTGGTGCAATGTCTCCTCTTCAGACAGTCTCCAGTTACCATTTCAGGGTGATTATTCCCCGACTCAGCTGTAACTTCCAGTTTGGTTTTGGGAGGCATTGCAAGCAAGATAAGATCCCTTTATTCTGCTGCCATCTTCCTAAATGCCAGGACATGGACCTGTTCATATGCCCTCCATTATATGCCACTGAGCTCCATTTCCTTGTGCTGTTGAGGTCCAAGCTCAAAACCAGATAGGGAGTCAAGACCTAGCTGGCTGCAGCTCGCTGGGCTCTAGTACTGCTGCTGCACTTCCACACCACACTGCCTACTGCCCCCATCACTTCTGCCTCTGGTCCCCATGACTGCCACAGTTAGTAGCTGATGTACAAAGTTTCTTCATGAAAGTGTCTGCTCCCCAGTGCCACAAGAAAGCTTTAGGCTCTTTTCCATTCAGGTTGATTTGGAAGAAGATTCCTCTTGCCAGAGGACCTTTATAGCTCCTCCTTGTTCAACCTCATACTGTAAAATTATCTTTGTCTTGGATATCCCAAGTTTCCCTACAGTTTGTGTAGGTATGGATTTTCCATACCATTCTTCTCTGATACTCCATGGGCCCTTTTATTTGTTCATTCATTTATCCATTCATTTATGGAAAATTTAACACTATAATTTCTCTAATTTATCCATTTATTTTTCCTTCTCTTTCTTTTGGGGATTCCAATTTTTGTACACTTCTACTTCTATTCCCCATATCAATTGGTGTTTCCTTTATCTATTTTTCTGATCTTCCCTTTTCCTTCTGGGAAATGACCTCAATCTAGTCCTCATGTGTTCCATAAGTCTGTGTGTCCTTTCTGCTATCTTATCCTATCTCTCGTTCTTCATATCAATTATATATTTCACTTGTAATATTGCCACTTGGTTACTTCTTATTTCTTTGTCTTAATATACCTAACATCCCTTATCTTTTAAAATGTTTATTAATACAATTTAAAAATTTTAGTCCATTCTAATGTTTATGCTTTTTATGGAATCTATAATCTATTATTTTTTTATCTTTTGAAATCATTGTACTTCTCAGAATATCTTTTTTAAAAATTTATTTTTATTGTTGAAAGTATTATAGGTGTTCCCCTTTTTCCCTCATTGATCCCCTCCACCCCACATCCACCTCACCCCCAGGCCTTCCCCATACCAACATCTGGATCCATAGGTTATGCATATAAGCATGCAAGTTCTTTGATTAATCTCTCCCCTTTTACTCCCCTACCCCCACCTTCCCTCTGAGATTTCTCAGTAAATCTGGGGATACTTCTACATAGAAAAATTTTCAAAGAGTTGATATAGTATACGTCCCATCTTCCCTTCTCAATTTACTAAAAGCTAAAATTGTAAGGGCTGAAACAGACAAAAGGTCATACTGCCTAGCATTTATTGATCTTGCTGTTATTAGAGTATAGTAAACTATAGAAGGAGCTACTTGGTCCCTCGCACGAACTTTTTAAAAAGCTTACAAAAGTTGCCTTTGTGTTCGAAGTTGGCAAAAAGGAATGAGGATAAACTGATGTTGGCTGTTTACAGAGCAGAAAGCACTATATAGAGTCCATCTGAGATGTAGCCTTAAAGGTACTTTATCTATAAAGATACCTGACTCAGCTAGATGAAATAAGTCACACAACTGCTTTCTTTTCACTTCCTCAAGGTTGTTTTCTCGACCTGGTTTCACATATGATTGTTTGGCAAATGGTGTTAGGTTATCTGGAGGTTTGAGGAACATTCTGCTTATTACCAAGAGCTAATTAAAGACGGAATGAATTAAGGGAAGCTGGTCACACAAATACCTAGCAGTAGAGCTGGAAAAAAAGCACCTAATCCTCCACATGATGGATTTTTACAATAGCAATGAGATCCAAAAGCCTTCATATCTAGTTTATGCAACACCTAAGAATACTTGCTCCAGTCCCTATTAAATCAGTTATAGTTTAGGAATTACTGTGGATTAATCCTTGATTTGGTGCCTTTGTGGCCAAAGGAAGGGATTCTTATGGCCTTTGGAGCACCCTGTTGCAGTCGTTGCCTCCCTCGGATTAAGCACTCTGTATACCACTGTTCCTGCTGCAGCTGATGCTTCTGATTTTGTAAGTGGCGTTGGGTGGCCTGCAACTCCTGGCAATGCTGGGACTGCTGTGCTAAGTCCTTGTGTAACCCCTGGTTCTCTCTGAGAATATCGCAGCAACACTCAAAAGCAAGTCCCTTTGCTACCACCTCCAGGGCCTTGGCCTTCTTTTTCAACTCCTTTTTTTCTCTCTTTCCCAACAGATTTACGTCTGGCTCACTTAGTTGCTTCTCCAGTAATGCTTTTTCCTGGAGGTACTGAGCATAGGCCTTTGCAATTGTCTCAGCTCGGGCTTTCTTTAGCTCTTCCTGTAATGTCTGCATTTCTCTGTCCTGTTTCTCTTTTACTAGAGAAATGTCCTTCATTGCCCTTAATTGATGCTTCAAATCAAATTCCTTCTTTTCCTTCTCCAAGATCTGTTTTTGAAACTCCAAAGTTTGTTTTGCATATTTGGAGGCTAATTCTTGTCTCCTTCGTTGGATTTCCCCACTTTCTTGTGCATAGTTGTCCCACAGCTTGTTGATTTCCTTTCTATACTCTTCAGTTTTGTTGGTCAAGTGATCTAGCATGAATTTAGTGTCAGCCTGGACATGGAACTTTTCATTGAGTAGCAGCCTGGTTTCCTCCAATACCTCTTTTTGTTGGATTTGAGCTTCTTTTATTTGCTTGTCCAGCTTCAACAGTTCCACTGTCTTTTCCATAAGTAGCATCGCTGCCCTTGTTGGCTTCTCTGGCTTCAAAAAATTACTTATTATACTAAGATAGCAGGTAGAGGGAATACTGAAGTCCTCAACAACTTTGCTCCCATAGTTCAACTCTTCATCCAACAGGTCACTGAGAGCGACAGACGCCAACGAGGTGGTGGTAGAGGCCTGCAACTCACGCAGAAGGCGGCTATGTGTAGAAAGTGTTTGGGATTTCTGGAGTCTGGGCTCAGCCAGAGTCTGCACAGTCCAGCACGCCCGCGGGTCACAGCGCAGCCCAATCCTGCCCTGGGTGGACCTGAGAGGCGCCCCACTCCCACCAGCGGGGCGCACTGATGTGAGCCGCGCTCCTGTCCTCCGCGGCACGTTGGTCCTCAGCGGCACCGCAGCCCTGGGCGGTGCAGCCCTGGCACTCTGGTCGCCAGGGGCCCTGGTCCCTGCTCCCTGGGTGCTTACAGTGAACCGCACGCCCTTCTTCCTCAAGCGGAGGCAATACCCCAGGGTGCTTCTGTAGCCGGGCTGTCCAATGGAGCGGGGCCCCTGCGTCTTCAGGGCTGTCCCGACCACGCTGAGCTTGCTCTCCTGGGACCAGCTGAGGTTCTGGTCCCAGTACCGCCAGCTCCCCGCCATGCTCCTGGGCTGGACCCTAGGCGAGGTCGGCACAGGAAGATGCTCGGGCACCCCTTCGCTCTCCCTCTCCGGGGGTTAGAGCCGGCTGCAGCCTGTCCACTCTCTTTCACAGCTCAGACTGTGGAACTGGAACGGCGGCGGCGCCCTAGCCGCGTTCCCATGGCGCCCAGGCGGAAGGGGCGGAGCCAGCTGGGGCATGGGGGCGGGGCCCGGAGCGGCGGCTGGGGTTCGGGACATTTTTCTTGGGGGGTGTCTGAAGTTCCCGTGTGGCTAGCTGGTGGGGCTCCGCCGCTTCTCAGTGCTTTCCGTTTCTTGATAGCTTTTCTGTCCACGGCGTGGGAGTGTCAATGGTTTATCTTGTCTGAAGTCTCCTCTTGTTTCTGTAATGAGGCTGTCAATTATCACGGGGTTTCGCGGAGTCTCGTTTCAGTCGCCACAACTTTTCTTGTCACAGCAACTGCACAAGGGTTTCGTGTATGAGCAAGACTTGGCACGTTTCTGGGTTCTTGCCGGGGCCGTCACAGCACAGCCCGGCACGTGGGGCCTCGCCCCTGCGCGCGGCCC